AAAAAAAAAAAAAAAAAAGCCCTCGATCAGAATTGAACTGCAATTAGGAGAAAATAATATGAAAAAACAAGACATACCCATAAGAATTCTTGAGTGATTTTCGACACCAAGATTCCCTTTTGATTCCCTCGACACAACAAGGTAAACCAACAAATTAAAGACTGAATCCCTTTTGTTTTCGAATCAAAAGATCTCGACAGAGTTTGCTCCTTTAGACGATGAGATGAAAAAAAACACGCACTTTTCACCGCCCACTCTGTGCATAAGTGAGGGCTGCGTGTGTGTGTGTGTGTGGGTATATATATATATAGCAGGTCTGTGTCAATGGGGGCTTTCTATATTCAGCTGCCCTTCGAATTTTCAGGCCTCAATTTTTTATATTCGTTTATATTTTCGATATTTGTGTGTGTGTGTGTGTGTGTGAATTTGATGAGAATAATTTTTTAAAGGAAGAAAGGTCGTGAATAAACAAGAGGTTTGGGGGTGCGTTTTTGAATATACTGGGTAAATAAATAAATAAATGAATGAATGAATATATGGATGGCGAATTTTAGCCGTGGGGCCCACGAGTGTTGGTCGTTTTGGCCGGTTGTTGCCTGCTAACGTGCGCAGACTGTGAATTTTTTTCTTTTTTACTGTGAGGGTAAAAGGGCCGGATTTGACATGAATCTGAATGTTTTTAAGGTTTTTAATAATATTTATTTTTTTGAAGAAAAATAAAATGTGGTAATGCGTATCTTACATTGAGAAACAGAATCTGTACGTATACCCTCTATTGTTTTTTTTTTTTTTTTTTTTTTTTTTTTTTTTCCAATCGAAAAACATTTCATAACCTCAAACATAAAACATCACCGAGTTCAACTGAACAAACATATCTTCTCTAACAAGAGACGACACCTACGGGGGAATACAAACTATCCCCCCTCCAAAGCCTTCTTGGCTAAAACATCACTAACAAGTAACAACTAAAGATTTCATACCCCTAAACTTACAAACAAGAAACACAGATTTAAGAACCAAAATATCCTCAAAGATTAACATACAAGATGCATTGAATCTATTGCAATTTCCCCCCCTATCCAAAGTAGAAGCCAAATTCTCAAGAGCAAGGAGCATGTCACTTCTAGCCATCCCCTCTCTACTGCAATATTTAAAGCCCACCTGACAGCTTTGAGATTGGCTTCCATCTTATCAGCAACCCAACTCCAATACTTTGAATTCTCCAACACCAATGCCTCTTGCTTCAAAGCCACAAGCCTTGTACCCAGTTTGCATTCAGAAGAGGTCAAGGCACTGACTTGTAAATCAACAAGTCCTACCTTCCTGGAAAAGTCCTCTGCCTAAGCATCTGTGGGATAGTGATCATCTTCTTGATGTACAGGCTTCATGTCTTGGCTGATGTCAGATAACATTTCATTCCAGTCCCTCTGGGCTCCTGCTGCAACCTCCCTTTCCACAAATTGATCCCCTCTGAATATTTTGTTATTTCTAGACTTCCAAATCCTCCACAATAAGCACACAGATAGAGCCCTCCTTTCTTTCATATTTGAACTTAGATTAGCACTGCACACCTTTGCCCACCAGTCTCTAATGTTGATGTTGAGTGAAGATGACAATATGACACACGAATTAAAAACAAGAAAAAGTAAAAAACACAAGATTTACGTGGTTCGGCAATGTGCCTACGTCCACGGCGGCTGAGGGATCTTTTATTATTCTCAATCGTATCAAATACATCAATACACCATGTATTTATTATTCTCGCTCCACTCCGCTCACTTCGCTCGGTCGCTCCGCTTCCCTCGCTACGTTCGCTCCGTTACGCTCGCAGGCATCAGCCTGCCCTCTTCCTTTGTCAATATATGAGCCATACCAACAATTGAAATGCTCCTTCTGAAAATCTGTCCATGTAATTCCCAGCAGTTTCCAACAAGTAGCAGTCTTCACACATGTAGCAAAAAGGTGGTTGATATCTTCTTCTGCTTCTCCACATAGAATGCAAGTGCCATCCATCCTTATTCCTTTCTTCTTCATTTTTGTTGTTGTACTCAGAAAACCATTAAGAACTAACTCTCCACATAAAAGTTTTGAGTTTTGGTAACACTTTCATCTGCCAAGTAATTTTCCACATTCTTATCATTTTAGCATCTGTTGCACTGGTACTGGCCTTTTCACTGGTTCCTGAGTACATATCAATGTATCTGCCATATGCTGATTTTACAGAGAAACAACCTTTCTTATCAAAGTCCCAAACCAATTTATCCTACTTCCTAAATTCACTGAGAGGAATTTTAAGAATTTGAGAGGCAATAAAAGGGGAAAAGGTTTGTTCAACCAGGTTCACATCCCAGTCCCTACACTCTCCCACAAATAAATCACTCACTCTAACAAGGGGCATCCTATCACTATCAAAAGAACAAGGGGGTGTAAATCCAGGAATTCCTGGAACCCAAGGAGAATTCCAAATAGATAAAGAAGTCCCATCCCCAACTTGGTATCTAATACCTTTCCTGAAAAGATCCCTAACTCTAAGCCAACTTCTCCAGAGCCAAGAATCATTATGATGGTGCTGAGTTTCAAACAAACTGGAGTTATGAAAATATTTCCCCTTAAGCACCTTACTAACTAGCAAGTTAGGTTGTGTCAGGATTCTCCAGAGTTGTTTAGAAATTAAAGCATCATTGAAAGCTACCATATTCTTGAACCCCAACCCTCCCACCTCTCTCATCTCAGCTAACTGGGCCCAAGAAGCCCAATGAGTTCTATCCTTCCCTTGATCATTCTTGCCCCACCAAAAGGAGCTAATCACTTTGCAGATGTCAGAGCATACAGAAATGGGGAGTTTAAAACAAGCCATCACATACACAGGTAGAGCATTGAGAACAGTTTTGATCAAGATATCCTTACCTGCATCACTCAAAAAAGAATTTTTCCAGCTAGAAACTCTGGATTTAACTTTATCACACGCATACCTAAAGGTCTCCCTCTTAGATCTCCCTACCCCAAGGGGTAACCCCAAGTACTTAGAACTAGAAACACAAGCAATGCCTCTCAAAATAGAACAAATATCAGACTTAGTCTCAGAGGGAGTGTGAAGTGAATAAGATTCACCCGGGCTCCTTCAACTCGAACCGGCCTCCGTACCTGCAGAACCCAACGCCGGGGGTGGCCCCGACGTCGGGTCTCTGATGCCTAAGTCAGTGCTCAGATCAAGAGAGAGAAAGTGTGTAGTAATGAAATAAGGAGAGAATGAGTGAGTGTGGTACCTTGGCCCCCTTTTATAGGGGGAGTGTACCTTTTGGGCCCAAGTTGGGCTTAGATGTCTTAGTGGGTTTATCCTCCAATATGTATCAGCTCTATCTATAAACCGGGTCCAGTATAATATCCTATATCATCTAGTCCCCCCACTCTGGTCGAGTAAGCATAACTCGATCCAAGAGTGAAATGCCTCTTCGAGCTGCTTTCTTCCACTTGCCACTAAGATCGAGCATCGAAAGTCAAATGACCATTGAATAACCACTGAAATATCCTCCAAATGAGCTTTGAGATCTCGAGATCGAAAACCGAAAGACCACGGAGGTCGAAAACTGAATGATCTGACGTCGGGGTCGAAAATCGAAAGATTTTGTCAATAAGGGCAAGAACCTAATGACTTGCCACTGAAGTCGAACACCAGAAGTCGAACGTCCACTGAGGTCGAAAACCGAGAGTCGAGACCGCGGAGGTCGAAAACTAAGAGTCGAGACCGCGGAGGTCGAAGACCGAGTGTCGAGACCGTGGAGGTCGAAAACTGAGAGTCGGGACCGTGGAGGTCGAATATCGAGCGTCGAGACCGTGGAGGTCGAAAACCGAGCGTCGAGACCACGGAGGTCGAAAACCGAGCGTCGAGACCGTGGAGGTCGAAAACCGAGAGTCGAGACCACGGAGGTCGAAAACCGAGCGTCGAGACCGAGGAGGTCGAATATCGAGAGTCGAGACCGCGAAGGTCGAAAACCGAGCGTCGAGACCGTGGAGGTCGAAAACCGACTGTCGAGACCGTGGAGGTCGAAAACCGAGAGTCGAGAGACCGCTGAGGTCGAAAACCGAGAGTCGAGACCGCGGAGGTCGAAAACCGAGAGTCGAGACCGCTGAGGTCGAAAACCGAGAGTCGAGACCGCGGATGTGGTCGAAAAGCAAGAACCGCGATGCCACTAAAAACGAGAACCAAAAACTGAAAGACCACTGATAATCGCCGATATGGTCGAAAAACATAAACTGAATGACCACTCCCTGAAATCTTGAATTTGAAAATTTGAATTTACGTATGTTGTGTTTCGATCACCATGTTCGAGCTCTCTTATACCCCCCTCGTCCTATCGCCCCTCAGTTCAAAATTTAAAATTCAAGCATGTTGTATATCCTCTCAAAACGCAAACAACTTGATTTCGTGGATTGCTCTGAATGAACTCCTCGACCTACCACCAAGGTCGAAAAATAGATTCGACAAGACCGAACCAAGCAAAAACCATCAACCTACTCGAACAAAATGAATATACTTGACTTGCCAAAGAGGTCGAAATAAACAGATTCGACAAACCAGAATCCATAAACAACGTGCTCGAGCAAAATGAATATACTTGATCCGCCAAGGAGGTCGAAATAAGCAAACTCGACAAACCAGAATCAGCAAACAACCAAACCAGAATCCATAAACGACCTGCTCGAGCAAAATGAATATACTCGACCCGCCAAAGAGATCGAAATAAGCAAATTCGACAAACCAGAATCAGCAAACAACCAAACCAGAATCCATAAACGACCTGCTCGAGCAAAATGAATATACTCGACCCGCCAAAGAGGTCGAAATAAGCAAATTCGACAAACCAGAATCAGCAAACAACCAAACCAGAATCCATAAACGACTTGCTCGAGCGAAATGAATATACTCGACCCTCCAAAGAG